TGAACCGCCATTTCGATACCAATTAATTTTCCGGTTGTCTTAGTTGCAAAAAGTTTAACTTTAAAAAACTCGATTCAAATTACTTACCTTTGATCGATTGAAATTTCTCTAAAAAAATAAAAATGATTTTAATAATAAATAAATAAATAAAAGGGAAAAGATAAAATAATAATAAATAAAATAAAGATAAAATAAAACAAATCAAAAGGAAAAAAATAGATCAAAACAAAATATTAAAAAATATAAAATCAAAAAAACAAAATATTAATATAATAATAAAAAATAAAAAAAATAAAAATAATAAAAATAAAGTAAAATAATAATAATAATAATAATAATAATAATAATAATAAAAATGGGTTAAATTTTAAAATAAAAAAAAGAAAAGAATTAATTTACATTAGTGACCAAAACAAAATATACATAAAAAATAGGGCTTGAACAGAAACACGGAAACTAAGTATACACAGTAACCAAGAGGGTTAATCTGTAATAACAATAAATAGAGAGATCAAATAATAACACTAATGATAATAGGGGCAACCATCGAAACTATTAAGCAATGGAGGTACCAAGAGTGAAAATAAGCCATAAATAAAATTTAAGACTAAAATGCAAATTATCAAAAATATGTGCATGATTCGAAAAGTCATAAAAACACTAAACTAACTAAAAGAGACTCAGGACCAAAATGAAATAAACATGGAATAAGATGCTTAAAATAAGAGCATATTCATCTCATGATCCAAATAAGAAATCATTCAAACTATAGTGGTTGTATGCGTGAATACTCCCTTTTACAATTATCATGCACAGTACCCCTAACGCATAAAAACAAAAGGAAAAAGATGATTCTCCTGCCCCAAGACAATGGGTTCCGGCTGGGTGCTTTTAAAACCAAAATAAACTCTCACCTTCTGAGATAAATACCACGAACATAACCCGTCTGTTGTGTACTCACGCCTCCTTCGAAAGCTTGAAGGTTTTGAGTTCCGGCGAAGACGCGATGACTACCCTCGAAGAAGACCGGTAAAGCTTTTGAGCTTTTCCACCTGTTTTCCTTTTTTCTGTCTGGTATTTCGGATCGATGGTAAAAATATTTTTTGTTTGGTTGCTTCCCTTTTGTGTTCGAAAATGGCTCTTCTCTCCTCTTTGTTTTCTTTCAATGTTCGAATCTTTCTGTATATATTTCTTCGATTCGAAAACCACCCTTTTTCCTCTGTATTTTTTCGTATGATTTTCGTGTGAGTATTTCCTCTTCATCCCCCCTCTTTAAATGCGAGATTACATGAGTATTTATAGTCTAAAAAACAACCTATTTTTAGTGTTTGATTCCGGGTGGGATTCTAACGTGGTTGTTTGTTGATTTGTGGGTGGTTGATGCCAATGAAATTGCCGGTTGTTGTTTGTTGCCGAGAGAATCGGCGTGTTGAGCGGGTTGTTGGAGAAGTCTTCGGATGAGGGGATGCGGCAGCGAAAATTTAGTGTCTACAACTATTTTAATGACGGTTTTGAATTACACTAAAGTTTTTATTATCAATGACCTAATATCGTTTTATTTTTGTTATGATTGCTATCAAATACTTTGTAAAGGTAAAGAATTTGCGTGTGAACAGATCAAATACTAACTTTGCTGAAAAGTTAATTTTCTTTTCCTTTTTATATGCTTTGATTTATTATTTCCTTTGAATTCTCGTTTCAACTGCTTCTGGTTGAAAAGTGGTGTTATAGTCCTTCTAGGCATGATTTTTATATTGGTTTCTTGTTTTCCGTTGCTTCATTGGAGAGTGGAAGCCGGGAAGGAAAAGAAAATATAAAGTAGTTTAAAACATTATTCAATATTCATAACTAATACTGCGAGTGGATTTTGTTTAAGGTTCCATGTGCTTCACTTTATCGTTCTCATTAAAGATACCAGCCTGCGTTATAGCTGGAGATTTTGTCACAATATCAGCTAAGCCGTTATCGGATAGTTTTTCAGTACTGCTTTTAGGTTTTAGCATTATGTTCTGGCGTATGATGCATATTTGAATGTTGAGGCTTTTCCCTTTTTCTCGTCTTTTAGTTCATCTGGATTTTTCTCCTTACATTACATGTGATGCATCCGTGCCACTGTTGGATTTATTCTTCATGGTTGTGATTCTCTTGTCTCATTTATCATTTTTTTGGATCTATAAATGTCAATGTGCACTTCTCTATGTATAAGTAGAAGATTCTATCGGAATTCATTTGCAAAGCCTTAAGTAGCATTCCTATTATAACCTGAATTACCTTGGTGCTTAAGATGCTGACTCTAGTTTCCAAGGTAAGTCCAAGGTGTATCACAATGAAGGCACTTATTCTTGTTGGAGGATTTGGAACAAGATTGAGGCCGTTGACCCTTAGTGTTCCTAAGCCGCTTGTTGATCGCTTCTGAATACTTGGAAATGTTCTTTTGGGTTTAACGGTTGTTTTCCTGAGACAAGCTTGTTGATCATTGGAATGATATATTTTTGGATTTTACAGATTGAGGCTCTCAAGGCTGTTGGTGTAACCGAGGTTGTTTTGGCCATTAATTACCAATCTGAGGTATGTCATATGTGAGGTGTTTCCATGTGTAAGATCTGCAAAATTGATCGACTTGAAAGGGTGGTAGCTAAGTTTTTAAAGGCTCACCGGTGGTCACTTCATTTTGCAGGTAATGTTGAACTTCTTAAAGGAATTCGAAGCTAAAGTTGGGATCACGATCCAATGCCTCAAGAGACTGAGCCGCTCGGCACTGCTGGTCCCCTTGCTTTGGCTAGAGACAAGCTCATTGATGATTCTGGTGAGCCATTTTTTGTCCTTAACAGTGATGTAATCAGTGAGTACCCATTCAAAGAAATGATTGAATTCCACAAAGCCCATGGAGGAGAAGCTTCCATAATAGTAACCAAGGTAATAATTCAGTTCTAAAATGTTAAGTTTATTTTCTTCGGAGAGATTGTAAGACTCGAGTCAAAATTCCATAGGTGGATGAGCCATCGAAATACGGCGTGGTCGTCATGGAAGAATCAACAGGGCAAGTGGACAAATTTGTAGAAAAACCAAAATTGTTCGTCGGAAACAAAATTAATGGCGGAATTTATCTGCTGAACCCATCGGTTCTTGATAGAATAGAGTTGAGACCCACCTCGATCGAGAAGGAGATCTTCCTGAAGATTGCAGCTGAGAAGAAGCTATATGCTATGATCCTACCAGGGTTTTGGATGGACATTGGTCAGTCTAGGGATTACATTACTGGTCTTAGACTTTATCTAGACTCGCTGCGAAAGAAAGCTTCAACTAAGTTGTCCACTGGTTCCAACATTATCGGGAATGTTTTGGTTCACGAGTCTGCTAAAATCGGAGAAGGATGTTTGATAGGACCAGATGTGGCAATCGGTCCAGGATGCGTGGTTGAGTCTGGAGTCAGACTATCCCGCTGCACAGTGATGTGTGGAGTCCGCATCAAGAAGCACGCTTGCATACCCAGCATCATCATCGGATGACGCTCAACCGTCGGACAATGGGCTTGAATCGAGAACATGACCATTCTGGGAGAAGATTTACATGTGTGCGACGAAATTTACATCAATGGCGGTGAGGTTTTGCCTCGCAAAGAGATCAAAATCTAGCATCTTGAAGCCTGAGATAGTCATGTGACAGATCGTTCCAGGTTCTAAGCAATTAAAAGCTATAATCATTGAAATGTTTTCAGATCATGTAATTGTTATTTATTTTTTTCGGTGACTGCATAGGATGATTCATTGATGTAACTTGTGTCTGTAAAATTACGAGTTGGTGTAACCTATGGGGATTCTTTAATTATCAATTTATCATTGATATCTTTTTATTTAATTTTGTCCGTTTTTAATGAATCATTTTTTTAAGGAGTTGTTATTTTTAATAAAAATAGTTCTGATTTCAAATGAAAAATAATTTACTATATAAAAGGATTTACTTGTGTACAAATCTGAAAGTAAAGATTTACGTAGATGCAATGTCAATAAAATAATTTTAGTAAGAAATAGATGAATATTAATTTATTACTGTCAGTATCAGATGTGTCACTATTGTTGGAACTCGTATTTCCCAATTTCCACCAAGTTTGCTGAAGGATGAGAGAACCAACTGCATGGAGGAGCTCTCTGTAAATTAGGAATGTTTTTATGATTGGTTTAGTTTAGATGTTTTTCCTTTACATTAAAAAAAATAATCAAATTATTATTTTTATATTCCATACAATTAAAATCAAGTTAAAGTCGTATATTTATATAAAAAAAATAGAATAAACTCTTACCTAATTTTGATTCTGTCAAACTATGCAAGCCAAAAATCTAGAGAAGCAGCAAAAAAAAAAATGGGTATATTTTATTGGGTCATTAATTAAAGAAAAGTAAAAGGAAAAACGTGTAATAGCATTATTAATTAGCAGTGTTAAACATTGTAGTAGGTAGATCAACCACCTGAAAAAGTATTTATTAAGTGATAATGATACCATATTTGTTTGAGTATTTATAACTCACTTCCGAGTGGGCTGGATTGTGGTATGATAATACTGAAACAAGCGTATCAATTAAAAGACTAGAAGATAACTAAACCTAGATCACCATAAAAACATGGATCAGTGGAGACAAAAGGATGTAGAGGACCTTGATAATAAAATTGTTGCTCTAAATTGCAAAAATTAGCTGTAACCAAATTTAATTATAGAAGGGGGAAAGAGCAAAAGAAATAGTCTTCCATCCAACCAAATGCCCGCATATCTTGCTTCCACGATAACCATTTTAGCATGTTCATAACACAAGCTTTTAGTGGATCAATCAGTCTCTCATTCATAAGACCATCAAACGCAATTGAATCGATGATGTTCAATGTGTTTCAAACCACCTTCGAAACTGTTGAGTGCTGGACCGATCTGTAATCAGCATCGGATATGATATCTCCTAGTTATGGAATTGTGACAATAAGGAAATTCAGATGCTACCACTCGAGCATTAAGACAAATCTTTGAAAGAAATTAATAGTACATGTGAATAAATAGACCTTAATTGCAACTAACAATCCCATAACATTTGAATGCACCTACAAACATCTCAATCAGTGAATAGTCTGGCAAAAAGCCAAATATCTTTAGAAGACAGCAGCGGCCAATCTTTTTCATTCCAGCAACTCAAAAGCACAATTACGAGCTGCCAAACGAGATATATCATCTACATATACAGATTGACTGCTACATATAAAAAGGATAAACCAGGTTGCAGGGGTGAGGAGAAGAATAAGAGAAATATGTTTTTCGCTTATGCTACCCTACACAAAACTTGCAAAGCTTTTTACCATACAAAATGTATCCATGAAGTGGTCAATTGCCTCTTCAGTACCTGAAGTTCTGAAGCAAGTGGTTTTCAATTTCAACCATTGTCAGTGCGGAAAGATATAAAAAGGACATCTGCATCACAGCAAATGAGAAGCAGTAAATAATAAAAATTAAGGTGTGATGGTTGGTATGGTATTTAATAACCATATGGATAACGGTGGTAATGAAAGAAAGGAGAAACATAATTAAAAATAATGGCAAGCAACATATGACTTTGGAAAAAGATCCATTACTCTGGACTATGACCTTCAGACAATAAGATAACAGTGGAAGACATTGAAGCAGAAGGAAAGAGGCAAGAGGATACTAAGGATTGGGAGCCTGATAGCAGAACTACACTGTAGAGAGAAAATCACTTCAAAAGGATACTGAGATATTTTCTTTTGTTTTGAACTTAGATCATCAAATAAAATTATGATCATTTCATAAATGACATTAAAAATAGAGCTTTATGATAAATGATTCCACATATTATCCACCGAAAAGCTTACAAAGATGATTTTGTTCTTAATATAGAAAACATATGCAGCTGTTTCATCCCAAAAAAAAAAGAACATATAATATTGGCACTAGAGACCTGAAAATCATGAAAACTTCTAAAAGAAAGCCAGAGGGAAGTAACAATCATTATGGATCAATAAGGACGTCAAGTACTATTCTTACTCATACACATCTTTGCTATGGTATATCCGATTATCCGTATGTTGCAAACTAACAAACAACAATATATAATGCTAAAAACAATTTATCAGCTTCATTCATTAAATTGATTTATTCCTACACTCACAATCACGTAATTGCAATGAAGATTATTGATATTTATAAATAAGATATGCGCCGCTGAGTGCCAACACCAACACTACCAACCTAAAAATTGTAAGAGAAAAGGGAACAAAATATACAACTCTATTCGGCTTACCTTGGTCGTGAATTGTAAGCCGCTATTCAATGATAGCTGCAATCGTCATATTTTAGTGGACATGAGCTTTGCTTTTTTCTCAGCTGGCTTGAGAATCTGGAAAGAACACATCAAGTTTTCATCGACACTCATCATTGCACCAGCATTATCAAATTCACCACAGTAGTTAGGTGCTGAAAATATTGTAACAAGTTGCCTATCGGCAAAGAATTCATAACCATCCTCTACAACCTACATCCACAACACAATCAGTTAAGCTCTAATGATCAGCTTTTAATAGATAAACACGAGAGTTTAGAAAAAGGCAATAACCTGGTGCGCACGACAGACAAGATCTAAATCATGTTTCTCTAAGAATTCTGCCACTTTGTCTGCCCCAAAAGTGAAAGAAACTCCTCTGTCATTCATTCCCCATCCTCTAACATCTCTATCAGGATCAGACCAGAGCAAATCACACAGCAAGCCAGTGTCAGGAATGGCTGTAGGACGATATAAGTGTCTGATTTCATCTAGGTTCGTCAAGTCCGGGGAAAGACCACCATGCATACACAATATTTTGTCATCTATAAGAGCCGCAACAGGAAGGCAGTTAAAACAATCAGTAAAGCTTTTCCAAAGTCTCACATTAAATCGACGCTTGCATTCATCATAAAATCCGTATATCCGATTAATAGATGCACATTCATGGTTTCCTCGCAATATGAAAAAGTTCTCTGGATACTTAATCTTATAAGCAAGTAGGAGACATATCGTTTCCAAACTCTGCTTGCCACGATCCACATAGTCGCCTAGGAATAGATAATTCGCATGAGGTGGAAAACCCCCATACTCGAATAGCCTCAACAAATCACTAAATTGCCCATGTATGTCACCTAAAAAAAAGACAAACTTTACAATGAAAAAATAAATAAATTACAAATTAATGATGGTAGTACTCAGAGTTCCATTATAATTATATGCATGTTTTCATCACAATCACAAATGCAACGTGCAGAATACATTATTTTTAATTTCTTCGTATATTTTTTCCTACGGCTTTCAGCAATCAAACAACAATAAACAACAACAATAAAATTACCCTCAGCCCATCTCCTCCAAAAGGAATGGTAAATTAGGCTTCCAAACTTTCAAATAGAAATGTGAAATTCACATTTTATCTGGTTCAGAATTATCAACTGAACCCCTGAACATTATGTTTCAATTCTTAAAAAGAAAAAATTGGAACCTTTGAATCTACCACAAACAAGTTATCCACATTGGCTCCCCGTAAAACACATAATGAAAAACTCAACTTTCCTTCAAGACCCACAAAATGTTTTCATAACAAACTCCGAAAATAAACATGAATTTCAAATTTAATCACAAAAAAATAAAAACTTCAACCCCCAAATGTTACCGCATATTTTGATGGGGGCTTCGAGTTCAAGCAAATTGGGCTGTTGAAGGAAGATATCTTTGGCAGCAACACAAAGTTGTTTGATCTCATTCTCAGAAAGTTGCACCTGTTTTCCTGGCCTGGCTAATCTGACTTCCGTCAGCCGTCTGATTATATCATCTAACAACGCGGTGTCCATCGTCGTCGTTTGCCCTTGTGTCGCCGTCGCCATTTGATCGTCCTCCTTCAAAGACCCCCCGATTTGACAAAACCCTAAAAGCGAAAGAAACCGACTTTCTTTTGTTCGAGCCTTTGAGGGTAAAAGAGTTTCGGAGAACGGAGGAAAAAAATATTAAAACCTATTTTCTGGGGAAATAAAATAATAATTTGATTATTATTTTTTTTTGTAAAAGCGATAAATTATCTCCCTGAATTTCCTCTTTTTCAAAGGAACAGATTTCCGGACGGTGTCGTTTTATGAAGAGTTGTTGTTTTAGACCGTTTGAGTCCGGTTCATTGGCCGCGACCTCGGCTTTGCTTTCGAGTTTGAATCACCCATACACGTCGAACTTATATTAAATCATGGGATCTAAATACGTATTTTAAAAAATAGATTGCCTTTAAATTATTATTTTTTAATAAAAATACTTAATTTAGATCTGAATATTTAATCATAGGGTATTAACATAAAATCATTTTATTGATACTTTAATATTTTATATGCTAATTGTTTGGTTGATATATTATAATATAGAATTTTCTAAATTTATTAAATCGTTTTTATTTTAATTTTATATGTGAAATATATCACTGTTTACTATTTTATAAGACTTGTTATGAAATATGATGTGATAATAATAATTTGTTTCTAAAATGGTATTTTATACAAGTTGTTCATGACAATAACAACTTGATATGCGAACGTTATATAAATGGTTCACGAATAGTTTGTCGAACACGAATATGATACTGAAAATTTAAAAGAACATGAATGGAACATAAAAATCTTAAAATATAGATAAACAAACACAAATATGATTTACTTTTATAATAATAGACCAATTAGTTATTATTCAATCCAACTACACTATCTTTAACCATAATGTTTTATCGGCCACTGTTACCTTTTAAAATTTATTGTGGACTCCTCGTCGAGTATTCCATTATTCAAATATATTTGATCACATGAGGTAAAAAAATAACATTCGAATATTGTTTTATTAAATAATTTATTATTATTGATTGATGTTATATGTCGAACCATATAAATTAAAGCTTTTGATTTAATTCATACCATTTATTTTTAAAGTCACTTTCCTTATTTTTCAAAACAGTATGCTACCTTCTATAATGACCTTTAATCACTTAAAATTTTATAATTATAGATATATAGCTCGAAATCAAGAACCATTTGTTCTAAATAAAACTAGATTTATTATAAGTATATAAGGCTTACTTTTTAATATTTACTATGAAAATTTTGGTGATTTTTCAAAGTCAATGCTAAAAAAGGGGCTCAAGTTTGATAAGAGGCCCATTCGGGTTGGAAACAGTAGCCTGAGAGCTACACTAACCCAATTGACTAGGATGTCCATATCCAATTACGAGGTAAGGATCTAGGCAAGGATTGACAGAGGAGACTATTGAGATTTGGGTAGTTGTCTTTTTAAAATTTTAAATTCGTCGTCTCTGTAAAATCAGACATTCATCCTTAAATTTAGACGTAAGTGTGGATCGGGTTTGCCACTCGATCCAGGGTATAGGCTCGAGATTTTTGGGTCTTTTACTAATTACTATACGTGTTTAGGGTTTAAAAATGTATACGAATTGTGTTTAGTTAGTGGCATGTTGCTGCATACCACTTAACATCATTATTATACTGTAAAATTTTGAAGGAAAACCTAATGAGGTTCTGAAAGTGCAGAGAATTTTCTTCAGTCACATGTCCATTTCCCATTTTTATCTTCCTCACAATACAGTAGCAGCCAACAGAAATATCTAGTTCATGTGGTCCTCGAAAGTTTTAATTAAAGTATTATATATATTAATCATTTAAAAGTTAAAATTAAAGTAAAATGAAGATAATAGAGACCATTAAAAACCTGATGTTTGACATAAATAAAAAATTATACATATATGAGATAAGATCATATTTAAGTGAATATTTTTTTATTTCTTTCTTAATTATATATTGAGTGTAATTAGATCCTGTCTCTCTCTCTCTCTATATATATATATAATCATTGTCATTCATCCTTTAATTCGATTATCATAATAACATAAAAGTAAAAAATATAAATTCTCTCAACAGGAAAATGTGAACATCATTCCTTGAAAAATTACCACTTCAAGTAAAGTTTTAGAACATTGATTGATACACTAAAAATAATAATTTCCGTTGCTAATCGTACATTTTAAATATAGTTATAAGTGAATCCAACACTCATTATTCTATACAACTAATTAAGAAAACCGAATAGCCAGTACTAATGAGCTAATCTCCATTATTGAATTAACACCGTAATTTACCATCAATCAAATTCAGTTAAACAATAGATTCAATCGAATATAAAATTTTTAAGACGTTATATCTGATGATTATAACACATGCTCATATATAATCGTGAGGATAATATTACATATTCATGCAATTAAATTGACAATGTAAGCATACATGATACATGGAGTAAAATATATTTAGGTTTGATAAATTTGATTATTCGAATTATTTTATTTGTCTTTAGATTAATGATGAATATAGAAATTAAAATTTGAAAATCCAAAAAGTTTGATTTTTTCTTTAAAAAATTGAGTATGCAATTTTTTTTCTCAATCCTCTTAATATACAAAAGTAAATTTAACAACTTTCCAAAAAGTAATGGTTATTCAGTTGATTCTCTTGGAGTTTGCATACATTTATCCCTGTCTGATGCTTGATTTATACTCGAACTTAATTATTTAAATTTCATCTAAAACCTAAAATTATTTAATTTAATTAAAATTAATCTAAATTTTAACTGGAATGATATAGACTGTACCTAATTTAAACTAAATCGAAAATAACTCAAATAGAAAGAAACTCGAATACAAAATAATCCGAATGGAAAGTATCTCAAAAAAAAAATAACACAGAGAGAGAATCCAAATTCCAGAGTTGTCCACACCGAAAGGAAAGAAAGACAGGCTGGCTAGCCCACTTTGTCACCGAGTTAAATGGAGTTGACCCAATGAAATTGCGCAACATTCTCGCAGGTCTTTTTCATTTTTTATTGGATAAATATATTTTTTAATATTTGAATTTAACTTTAATTTTAAAATTCAATTTGTAATATTTTCTTTTATGCATATGAACTAAACTTATACGTTTAAATTAATATCTGGACTTAATTTTTATATATCTAATTAATACTTATATTAAATAGTTTATTTGAATCATGAAACATACTTAATGTATTAATTTGAACAAAAACCAAGGTCCAAATTTATTATCTGACCGGACCACCGAAATTCAAGTACTATATTAAAACTTGAGGTCAAGTTCAAGGACTATACCGTATATTTACCATTTTATTAAAAACTCATTTATAATTAATTTTTCAAATCATACACTTTTTTCTAATTTAGATATCTAATTTTTTTTTATTAAAGTAGGTTTTTAAAGTTTTATTTTATAATCATTTTAAGATTTTATCGTTATTACTAAAAAATTATTATCTAAAGATATCTCCATATATAACATATCATTAATTTTACTTAATTTTTTTCCTTCTTCTATCCAAACAACTTCTCTCACTTAATTTTTATGTTTCCTTCTTTGATAGCCAGTAACAAATTTTTTAATTTTGATGTTTTTAAATGGTTTTTTAAATAAATTAATCATTTAATAAATTGATTAGAAGAATATATTTTTAACAAAGATATTTTAATCGGTGAAGATTAAGATATTCGAGAAGGAGGTTTGGGATTAGTTGGAATGATTTTCATTTTTCTTCTGCCTTTTTAATTAAAATATTCTTTTCATCTCTAACATAAATAATAAAATATTTTTAATACAAAATTAAGTATTAAATTATTTTGATAAAAAGGGTAAAGTATACAATGGTCCCCCAATTATAGAATGTTATTTTATTGAGTCCCTTAACTATTAAAAGTTATAAAATGGTCACTTGACTATTCATATATTCCAAACTCATCATTTTCTGTTAAAAATTTGATGGACGTATGAGCAGAACGTTAACACATTAACCGAAATATGATAAAATCATATTTTAATGATATCTACTAGCATCGTCATTGCTTTCAAACATTAACTCAACGACATAATATTTCAAACAATATACTGACGACATAATACAAACAAAGATTTGACCCATAAAATACAACTAAAACGATTTTTTGATCATATTTTATCATATCTCAATTAATAGTTAACATCCAGCTCAGACGACTGCCAATTTTTTAACAGAAGATGACGAGTTTGGAACGTATGAATAGTCGGATGACTCAACAAAATAGCACATTATAGTGGGAGTATTATTTTGTAACTTTTAATATTTGAAGGACTCAAAAAAGTAACACCATTTGAGACCATTTGTGTATTTTACCAAAAAATTAAATATCTAAATCAGAAAAAGAAATAATATAACTATTATTTATGAATTAAACCAGAAAAAAGAACTCGTGCAAAATGCCGATGAACATTTTAAATCCGAAACAGTTGAAAGTGTCTGCTTTGCTTTGTTTCCTCTCATTTTCAGACAAAACAAAACTCTAAAAAAAAAAATCAATCTTCTCAAAGGTATTTTATTTTCCCTTCCTTTGTTATTGTTTTTCATTTTCCCTTTTTATTTTGATAGATTGAATTTCTTCCATTTCCGATTCATAGTTCTTCGTTAATATTCCGTGTTTTAAATCAGAAATTAAGAATTCATTGCTGCTATTATTAACATTTTGTCATTTTCTGTAAGCTTTTGTCTTCCTTTATTTATTTGTTTATTTCTCTCTCAATTCTTTGCTTTAGCTTAGTTTCCGATAATTAGTTTCATTTTCTGTCTAAACATGTTGTAACTAGCTTTTCAAAGCGTTAAATTTTGATGAAAGAAACGCCAAGTTTAACGTTAATCTAATCAAGATTCTTAATTTAACCAAATTTATGATATTATGATGACTGAGTATTAGTTATTGTGAATAAGTTTTAATTATCAAAATTGCGTGGAAATTTCATTATTTTGATTTTATTTAGTTTTTTTTCGCTGCAAGAAAAAAAAACCTGCAGGAGGAAGTTGAATTGATGGTGGCGGTGTTGAAGGTTGCTATAACTGATTAACTAACTGCTCGGTGGCGTTGTTTTAATTTGATCAAGGGTGGCTTCACTTGATGTGGCCTCTATATTTTCTGTTAAACAAGATTCTTAGATCTGACGGAGAAGACAGGGAAGAAAACAATGGAGATCACATGAATGTGGCAGCTGGACGCTGCCTTTTTGAGCTGCCATCTGATAATCTAACTGGTCGTGAGGCAGCGATGCCTCAATCACATTATGTTCAAGTGAGTGCATTAGTATTTATGGAATGCTGTGATTAGAATTTGTTTGTTTAAACTGTAGTTTGGTGTTTATAGGTTCCGCATATTAACCAGCTGTTCTCTTGGGATTGTGGACTTGCTTGTGTTTTGATGGCTTTGACTACTGTCGGCATTAATGGTTATAGTATTCAGAACTTGATCGAGCTTTGCAGCACAACCAGGTATGTTGTCATTACAAAGTAGGAGAAGAATTATATAAGATTATGGAAATTTGGATGTGATGTACATCCGTACCATTTTATTTTATCTTAAGATGGCTGCATTTGGATATATAAGTTGATACAAGCCATTTCTGATGAATACTTTTGTTGACATCTTGTATGCAGCATTTGGACTGTTGATCTGGCTTACTTACTGCAAAAGTTTTCTGTCAGGTTTTCCTATTACACTGTAACATTTGGAGCTAACCCAAACTACTCTGGTGAGACATATTACAAGGTAACTTACCTTTGCACCATATGCATCTTCATAATTACATTGTGTCTATATTTATTGGGTTTTTTTCTTGGTTTCAAATTAAGGATCAAGTTTCCCATTAGCATGCTTGTTTATTGCTTCAAGCTATGCACCATAACATTTATCATTTAAATTATATGCGTGCCTTACTAACTGCTAGCTAGCGTGCGATTTTCCATTTAGCTTTTGTTTTTGTAGATCTAACCAGCTGTGTAATGTCTCTGTATGACTGCACAACTTGAATAAGTGGCACACTGCTTTATTTTCATTGGTTTTCATCTTTGGAAGGAAATTACATCTGCAAAATTTTCTGTAGGGTTTCCCTCCTATTCCTCGTTCAATAGTTTAGCTTCAGGATGTTGTTGTCTCATTAAGTTCCCATGATTTATTTTTTTCAGTTGAATAGCTTGTCAGATTATTGTTTCTATCATAATAATCAAAGGAATTACTCGAGTATTCTGCAGGAACATCTGCCTAGTGATCTGGTTCGAGTAGATAAGCTATTCCAAAAGGCAGTGGAAGCAGGGATCAATATACTGGTATTGATGTATTGATCGCTTTAGTGATAAAGTTTTTCCTTTGAAATATTTATAGCCAGTATTTTGTCTTCAAACTTAAATGAATGCTTAGTACTGAACCACATCCCTTGTTCATTTCAATAAAAAAAAGTAATTCGAAAGTCTTGTTGATGTTGAAATATCAGCTTCTCTTACCCATTATGACATAATATGAATGGTCTTTGTCACAATTTAACTTTTTCATTGGGGTTTTTAACTGCCCCATTTTACAGTGCAGGTCAATCAGCAAAGAAGAAATCTCTCGCTGGATCATGTCAGGGAAGTATATTGTGATTGCTTTAGTTGATCTGTGTAAATTGAGGTATGTATTCATATTTCTTAGAACTTTTTGCCTAGTTGGTTGCTATTATATAACTTGTTCTGTTTTCTTCAGATTTTGAAATGAATCAGTCGTCATTTTAACGTGTCTGGTTGCCTGTGTTTTCTATTTTCTCTTTTATATGCCTGTATTTTAGAAGGGATTATACAAAGGGTTAAGTTCTTGCATGATAATTACTTATATAGTGATGATATCCTCGTACTGATTTCTTCTGTCAAAATCTTGCATTGCAGTGGATCTTGGGTTGGGGATGTGATCATCCCTGGATTTCATGGCAATGATGCAGGATACACAGGTTAGTGTTGCAGGCTTGCTTTTAGAATGTTGTTTTTCATATACAATTTGAAAATTTAAATCAAGATGCTAATAATGAGTATATATTCTTGTTACTTTATGTTTGAAAAACAAACAGTTTCCTGTTTAACAGATGGGTAACAGATGCAATGTTTTGTTAGGCAAATAAACATATGCTTGTGGATGATTTTCTTGAACACTGTCAAGCCCGAATCATTCTGATAATATGTTTATATTATGGTCGGGGTTTCAAATCACGTTCCGAAAACGTGATTTCATCCGCGAAATTGCGGTTTTGCCGCTGTCCGAGTTTCCCGCTACGCCTGCGACGCCCGCGACAGCCACAATAACGGTAAACCCGAAATGAACGAAAATGCGACCGCGACTTGAAACCCTGAGTATGGTATCACCTTATATAAATGTGAAACCGGAAGTTGCGTAGTTCTCCCTTGCTTGGCATATTGTTGCTAACTAAACTTATAATTCTGCCTATAAAAATTTGAACTTATTGCTTGGGAGTGCAAATATTCATTCCATGTTTTGAATAATTTATAATTCAAATACTACTTGACATAAAATTGATGATTAAGAACTCTTGCAGGATTAGTTGCTGCATCTATGAACCGTGCAATATGATTTAGTTAATAACAGATGGCTCATAGTAGTAACAAGATTTCTCTTCCGTTGATTAATCTTTTTCTGCTAAAAAAATTCTAGTGTTGTTACATATTGTCCATGAACTTATACAATCTTTCATATTTGATCACATTATTGAGAAATCTGCTCTCTTTGTAGGTCATTATATTGTGATATGTGGCTATGATGCTGAAGCAGATGAGTTTGAGATTAGAGATCCTGCAAGTTGTAGGTACTTCCTAAGCTTTCTTTTTCACTGCTTAACTACTCCCTGCTATTTTTTTTATACAATCTCTTTTTGTTTGTTCTGGTCAAGGTCATATAATCATTTTAAATAACTAAGGCCGTCATTGTTGGTACATTTTACTACTAATGTTCATAAATAAGCGTGTCCAGAAACTTAATACAGCAGCAAACGCTAGGAATGTATGCCATGATGCACTTTCCAGACATTTTAACGTCAGGACCTATTACAGAAAATGCAAAAAGTCATTTGACTTCTACTGGAAAATTAACTGGCAATTTAAGATTCAGGATACTGGTTTACAAATAAGTATGAAGTTATCAAACAATTTTAATCTTTTTCATGTCATAGTTTGGTAATTGGAGCAATAAATTTGGTGTCCATAAAATGTATGAAGATTTTGGATCTTATTCAGTACATTATGCAACCCTTGTGGATGACTGGAGACCTAAGTTTTTCCATGTATTTGGAGGGTCTGCGGAGGATCACATTCCCATACCCATGTCCAGATTTTTCAAGAGATCGAAGAGTCAGATCAATATAGCTGGAGACTTCAGTGACCAAGCTGTTCGATATATCCTATCCTCCCAGTTTTCTTACATCTTCTGTCTTCTTATAGTTATCATTCCTCAAAGTCAGTTTCCTCTGCTACTTCTTTGAGACTTATCTTGTTATTTTCAGCCCATATTATAAAAAAATATTGGTATCCTTGTGATTACATGCATTATTTTTATGTGAAAAGCTTTCTGACTTTTTTGTGTTCCATGGATCTTGTTGTTCTCCTTAGCTGAATGTCTCAATCGAGTTCCATTAACATCTTGATTTCCCATTGGCTAAATGTATTTACAGGTTGGAACCTTGTGGTTACTGATAAATAGTTGATCTAACAGCTATGGATGAGAGAAGAGCATACTTGGAAAGATGTATAAAAGCTACACAGTGTTCATATAACTAGTTTAACTAAACTTGCATCTACCTTATTAGTGATGTTTCCCTTGATGTTAATTCAACTCCACAAACTTGTTCTTGAGAATTTGTTTGATCTTATGCTAGAAGCATAAACTTGAGAAACAATATGTGCAGGAAACACAACAGGGTCTCATCAAAGTCCCTTGAAGAAGCACGCAAGTCCTTTGGTACCGATGAAGATCTTCTTCTGGTAATTTTTCTATAAAACAATAAAACCTCTGCCTCTACTATGTTGCTGCATCATAGTACTCTATTAGTGTTATTTTGTTGAAATGCTTTTCCCCAACATTTGGTTTCATATTGCCATGCAGTGGACTAATTTATTTAATTTTTGTTTAAACGAAGTATTTAATAGAGTAAATCCTATGCATGAGCCTCACTCTATCCTTTCAAGAACAAAGCTTTTCGTTCGCCAGTCGCCCATAGTTAGTGGTATCACTTTTAATTCTTGAAAATACTTGATTGCTACAAATCTAGTATCGAAATGTAAAACGAGAAAAAAATTTATCCAGGTTAAATTAAACTTTGCTTGAGACAAACTAAAATGTATTCTCGCCTAGCATTACCCATCCCTTTGATATTTGCTACGTTTCTATGTAGATATCAGTTGACGAGAGCCGGAAACAGAACTACCCCATATTGTGATTTTCTCCGATTAGTCTATATGTATAGTGCCTGATATTCTTCATCTTCGTCAAGCCGGTAGTTCTAATCTGCAAATCAGGCGCCTCTGTAAAATAATTTGTTCATTTTGTATATGAACTGTACATTATAATGTATTTGTTGTATAATAACATTGTGTATTCTGTATCCCTTCCATAATGTTAAAGTTGGCAACTTGCTCGTACCAAGATTGTGTAAACTCTACTCTTTATCAACAAGATCAAATAAATGGTGCAATGCAAATACAAAACACAGAATTTGATAAGATTCTTTGTTGTGTGGAACTAAATCCAACAAAGAAACATAAACATTTAAATCATTATAAAAGTTGTTGAATCCCTAGATACGAATATAAACAACATGCTGATTAAGGAATAATTATAGCTTGGGTGAGATATGGCTTGCAGCCATAAATCAAAAGATTTCGGTCCACTTCTTGATCATTGTCACCATCTAAAATGCAAACGACCCTTTTGCAATAGGCTTTCACGATGGTAGTGTGACGAGCGATTTTGGGCATTTTCATCTGTCTCTTTTGCCTTCTCTCTAGAAAAATGGCGTTGAAATCGTTCCTATTTGGTCGTACAAATCTATATGATGCAACTGCCATTGATGTTAAGAAATAATTTGTAATTATCGATTTCGTCAATTTTCTAGGATTGTTGTTCACATTTTTTGTGTTTGAAATTAAAGGAAAAATATTGGAAGAGATTTATGAGAAAGGTGATCAAGAAAATAGAACCCAGACAATTATTCTTATTTGGTAGTATATTATAACTTTCTATAACCTTAGGGTAAATTATACGAATAATTTCTTATATTTTTTGTATGATCGATTTTGGTCATAGGGTAAAAAAAGTGGTTTTGATCTCTCATGCTATCAGTCTATTTAATTTTAATTTCAGTCGTTAAATTTCATTAACCCATTAACATAAGTATTACATGACGCTTAAAAAATAAATAAAGCCCAGACCGTTATGTAGCTTCATAGGAAGAGTTCGACATGGAAGAGGTGTTGGATGAGACAGCTCATGGACCCAAGTTCTCAAAGACTCAAACCCATGGATCCGAGAGGTCGCGGTCCTCTCGTGGTGCACCATTCTCATCGCGGTTCGAACCCCGAAACTCTTCCTTTGACGTGAGATAGTATTGACAGTCATTGCAATCATCTTATCCTCTCTCTTCCAAAACTTGAGCCACTATGATTTCAAAACAATCAACCGTCTGCTCAATTTCTACATCTTTGCAATCTGCTTGGTGTTCTCCAACGATTCGGTCCCGACTTTCATACAAGAAAGGTTCATCTTCATCAGAGAAACCTCCCACAATGCTTACCATGCATCATCCTATGTTATCTCCTCCCTCATTGTCTATCTCCTGTTTTTCGCCATCCAAGGCTTTACTTACATTCGAGGCAATCACCAAGTACTCGATTCACCTCAATAGCAACCTCTTCAATTTCTGGATAATCCTTTACACATCACTAATAACAATCAATGCTTACGTGATGCTCGTGAGAGCACTTGTCCCAAGTTATATCACCGGACCACGGCTCTCTTCTTCCTCATATGTGGGTTCTTCCTCAAAGGGAACAAGATTCCCATTTATTAGAGGTGGCTCTACTACATCTCAACCATCAAATATCCGTTCTAGGCCTTGCTGGTGAATGAGTTCAAAGATGAGGAAATCTACTACACAGAGAACCCAATCGATCTTTCACCGGGTCCTTTAGACGAGTTAAAGCTCAATGATTTGCATATTTAACACAATGATACCCTAAAATGCAGAGTGATAGGAGAAGATGCTATATCATCAATGGGAATTAACATGAAGAATCTTTGGTATGATATTCTTGTCTTGCTTGCATGGGGAGTTCTCTATAGCCTATTTTTTAACGCGTTGCTTAGATTTTACTCCAAGAACAAGAGAAGAAAAAAAAAGTCTGTATCTTTGGGATTTTTTGCTGTTTTCATGATGTCTCATTTCCATGTTTGCCACTTAAAGTTTCAGTTCATTGCTAATACATGAAGAAATCATTGAATTAAAGCATTGATTAGTGCTTGGTAGAGAAGATGAATTATTTGGATTCGTAAAATTAGGGAAATATACAATAATGCTGTATGTCAGCGTTAGAAAATCACTAGTTTTTCTCTTTTTGCATATATTAGTATCAACTAAAGATTTGATATTTGATTATTTATCCTCTCATGTAGCTATAATCCAACCTTTGGTGCATAGGTCTTATAATTCTATCGACTTTTCTTTATTATCGTGAATCAATTATCGTTTGTGAGATTTGTGTCAATGATTAGGGATGATAATGGGACCTTTATTGCGGGATGCAACTTGAATTTGCAAGTACTTTCACGTTGGATTTGTTAACTAAGAATAAGAAGATACTTTCACGTTGGATTTTTTAAAGAAGAAGAAGGCATGTTGAATTTTTTTTTGATTTTTTAATTGTCATGTAATATTTGACAGGAGTTAACATTCGAGAGATTAAAACAAAACGGATTAATAACATAATAGACTAAAATCAATTTTTTTTAAATAGGTGACTAAAATCGGTTGAAAACATATGAGAGTATCCATATAGTTTACCTATAATTTTAATATAATGTGTAAGTGACCCAATAAATACAAAATAAAAAAAGAATTTACATCAAATAGTGTCAAGCATGTCAATATAAGGTCTAACGTACCACATCAAACTTGTGTTATTGAAGAATAACGGTGGTTACAGTCGATTGACTGATTTGTTACAAAAGTGATAATGTTAATGATAATTTTGTTACTTATGATTAGTCCATTTAACGTGGTTTACCCAAAATAAAATTGTTAATCAAAACACTCTTCGTATCCCAAAAATGTATTCTTTGCCAACTGCCATAAAAGTTGAAATTGAAACCCTTTTAAATAGGAAGTCCCCTTATAAAACCATTCATTCGTTCTCAAAACCACTCCTTCCTCGAAAAACCTGCAAAAACATAGTAAAACAATGGCTACATTCTCCACTCGCAGCTATACTGACTCTTTTAATCTCCAAATCTTCCTCTTCCTCTTCCTTATATCAAAACCCATTTCCTCTTTTGCCCATCAGGCCTTCGATAACAACCCCAGCTTTGATCCCCTCATTTCCCTCTTCGGTGATGCGAGGGTTGTAGATGGAAGCTCTACAGTGCAGATCACGCGCTCTCACGCGCCAAGTTCCGGGCTTTTATTGCTGGACAAGCCCTTCAAGTCCACATTGGCAAGGAATGTGGATCAACCGACTTCGTTTTCAACTGAGTTTTCCTTTTCCATAGCTCCTGGTAATTCTGACGGTTTAGCTTTTGTTCTAATTCCTAATGGTTTTCACACAAGATTTCAGGGTCAAGGGATTTTTGGTCTTTCTGGTGAAAATACGTTTCTGGGTGTAGAATTTGATACAAAGAAATATGATAAAGCTGGGAACTTTAATGCAAACCATGTACGAATCGATATTCATGGTCTTGAATCCGTTAAGGTTAGCAATTTGTCATCACTGAATTTAGTGTTAAACAATGGGGATGTGTTGAAATCTTGGGTTGATTATGATTCAAGCTCAAAACTTTTACAAGTTAGATTGAGTAAGCGTGATGAAAATAGGCCTTCGAACCCAATTCTAGCGTACCAAATTGATTTGATAGAAATGTGGGGAAAAGATGATATTTTTGCTGGCATAATATCAACTTCGAATGGTGAATCTTCACAGACTAGTAGCGACGTTGATGTATATTCATGGAGATTTAGGGTAAGGGCCGTTCCGAGTTGGATGCATTCATTGCCTGCTGATCCGAGAGGTTTTATGGATAAGGATAGTAATGAAACTAGGGAAGAAAAGGGGAAGTATTGTTCTTTGACAATTCTAGCTAAGTTGATTTTCGCTACTGGATGTGGAGCCTTGTTCGCGTTCGTGATGCTGTTTATGTGGGTGATTTTCGTTAGTAGGCACACAGTGTTCCCTGTCAAGTGTGAACCGGGTCACGAAGATTTCAGGTACGAGAAGGTCAATGTGATTGTAGAGAAGGAAGATCGATGTAATAAAGTTTAGCAGATGGAGTTTATGAATATTATGATTTGAACTTTGTGTTGTTGTTCTTGTTACTACCATAGTTATTCGACTAAGTTTGCAATGTAGCCTGTAGTGCAATGCAGTCTTGCTTTTTTTTTTCTAGCTGTAAGCACATTCTGAACATTGCTGTGATTTTATATTCTTTGAAATGCATGATCCGTTGCTTAGACCCCAAGTTGAATCTTTTATATGCTTCAAGAAGTGTCTCATGTTTGCTTTTATACCTTACAAGTGGTTTTCTAGCTTTTGATTACAGGTTTGGGGAACTTTTTCCATTGGCAATGTTCTCTAGACTCCTAATAACTCAGTGATCTTTGTTATTTGTATTTGTACAAAGTTCAACTCTATAATTATATTTATGGTCTTGGGTTTTCTGCATACCCTGTCTCTCCTTTCGTCTTTCTCTTCTCCGATTTTCTTGGAATTCTGGAAACGGTTAAATGGATGATGGTTTCTGTTTCTAGTCCTATATCCAAACCCTCATCAACCATATAACTCGAAATTGGTATCTCTTCTTCTTTCTCTTCTCCGATCTTGAACTTGCTGGAAACAATTAAACAGAGGATGGTTTATCCTTTATAATCCTCGTCTGAACCCTTATCCACCGTGCAAATGATTATTTTTGTCTGAATAACGATCCTATTAAATTGGAATTGATCCCAAGACAGCCAAATGATGAAAGAAATTTATATGCTTGATGCTCTTTTCCTTTTCCTTTTTTTTAAATATTTTATACCTGCTTCTCATGCACCCTTGGCATTTCTTTTTGCTTGCTTCATCAGATAACAAACGAATCCACTTGTTCCCCTCAACTTTTCAGTATCATGTATTCTTTATTTTTGTTTTAGAAGAATCATAAGTCATAATGGTATAATATATTTCAATTCTTTGAATTTCTTTAGAGATGTTTGAAGCAGTGAACAAGTCTGTAGTATTGAGCAGAATGTATTTTGATTTCTGGGAACAAATTTTATACAGCTTTCATTTGCAAAATACAAGTTTGCACAAAAGTGTCTCTGACCCTTTCTTTAAAACAATGTTATTCCCCCTCCGCACACACCGAAACAGATTTTTTTTCGTTTCTTGAAAGTGTTACATTTGATCAAACCTCTACATTCTTAGCCCTTGTATTGCTTCAGCACGAAAGGCTCAAACCTATTTGGACTAAGCTTGAGGTTGAACTGAGAGAGAGAGAAAACCTTCTTTAGCACGAAAGGCTCAAACCTTCCATTGCTGGAAACGTGGGAGAAACCCTAATTGTCATTCTAGAAAAATAACTATTTACTTCTCGCAGATGCATCCTGGGTATGGATTCGCATAAAAGCTTTCCTCTTTTTTCACCGCTTTTCCAGGCTTTCTTAAAACTGCTCCCCCTGTTCTATTCGCATGCAGGATCTTCACCTTCGTTGAAAACTCCTCCCACGTTATCGTTCCCTTATCCATTCGATCAATCAATCTCACAAAGTTTTTTCTGCAACATTTCCTAAATCTAAATCAATACAATCATGGTAATATAACTTATAATCAGACGATTGTTTAGTCGTTATACGTACTTGTCTGGTATTATAGTTTTTCGGAAACCTTCGTATTTACGATGTCCCTGCACTGCTTTGGCCATGTTTCCGTCGTAAGTGAAGACGAAAACATCGCTCTCCAGTGCCACGGTGTAGTCAACTGCCGCCAGCTTGTTTTGGCGATCATTGAAAGGCGACAATTCGTCTTTCGTCGCTAAATTTGAATGGGTGTATAGGTTTGGGTACTTGGCTTGGAGTGCGTTGACACCATCTTGGCCATAAATATTCCCAGCCACTATGTAGATTTTGGTATCCGAAGGGAAGCCGATTGCCTCGAGGAACACGGCTACCTCTCGCGGTGTCATTGGGCATACCCCTTGTCGTCGTCTTTCTTCACCGTCGATGTGCTTTTCCTTCCAATGTCGGACGCTACGTCGCAATTTCTGTAGCTCGGCATCTTCGGCTTTGGTTAGATTGTGACCGCAGCCAGTGAAGGCAAGCATGTCCTTTTCATATCTGCAGACAAGTTTCCAGTTAACAAATTCAAGTAACCATTTAAATCTTTAAAGTCGAGGGTTTAGGGGTTTTTTCTTACCTTAAATGAAGAGCAATGTAAGGCTTATTATCAGCCCTGAGCCTAGTAATCAACTTATAGGCAAGTTCTTCAATTTCGTCGGTGAATTTAAGCGCCTCGTACATGGCACGGCAACGGAGCCTCTGAATAGGGTTTGGAAGGCCATTGTTAGCCAGTCGGCTGTCGGTGTGGGTGAAGTTAATCACCTTATATTTCTTCAGCAAAGAAGACATTTGATCTCTGTAATAGCTTGCCTACGTATACGAAGAAATGATAACCGATCAACCTTAAATCTTAAATCTTAAATTTTAAACCCATCTTTTTCGAAGAGTAACCTATACCTTAGAGTAAGAAACTGGGGCTCGTTCAAGAGCTTTAATCGATGCATAGGCTGGTGGGAGACAATCAACAATACTTATATCCTCTTGCAGATATTCAACGAAGTGTTTCCAGTCAAATATATCTTTAAAGTCGCTGCACAAATTACTTGAATGAGATATATATTATATTTATTTTAACATTCTGAACCAAAAGTTTTGTAATTGTTAAAAATTGAAATTAACCTTGGATCAGTCCAGAAAGAATTGTGGTCTAAAGATGGGAGAACCAAAGTGGCATTCATCACTTTTGCAATGGCAACCATGTCACTTATCTGCAGATAAATTTATCTTAATTAATAAATTTGGGAAAAAGTATCCAAAAAAATAAAATAAAAGAAAAACTTAATTACCCCGGTTTTCATTTGATTCAATCCGCCGTTGGAATGAACAAGAAGATAACCATTTGTAGGGTATGCTGAAAATAAATAAACTAATAGTATTACAGAAACAGCACAAGCAAATATATTATTAAGGAAAATAAGAGAAATTAATTTAACTTACTCGTTTCTTTAGCTGATCTTTGAACACATTTATAGTAGGAATCGGAAGACGGCTTGGTCCAAATATCAGGTGTCTGACCATGCAAAAATAAATAAATAAAACCGGCATTAAATATATGGTTATTAAAAATGAGTTGATTAGTGGAAATTATTCACATTCAAATACATAATATGTTAAATATAAGGGGAAGCTACGTATTTAGTCACTTATCTATTCTCTTAATTTCATTTTGATCATTTAACTATTCTTTTTCTAAAATCACACCTAACATTACGTTTTGGTCATATGTCGTTAAAAAATAGGCAGAACTGTTGACATGTCAATTTTTTTCCAATGATAACTTGACATGTCGTTAAAATTAACATCACCGTTAATTTTCTAATGACGGATAACCAAAACGGAACCAGATCATAATTGGGTGACCAAAACAGAATCACGAGAATAGATGACTGATTAAATACATAGTTTACCCTAAATATGATTTAATTTGGTTAGTATGGGAAGCATGGTAGGTTAAGTAAAGGCTTAATGTTTCTAACCGTGGGCTTGGATGGCGGAATCTGCTTGATTTCAGAAATAATAATATCATTGTCTCCTTCAGCAATAATTTTGTTAGTCCTAATCGAAATTTCGTAAGACCTTTCTGCAATGAGTTTATCATGATTGATCTTCAAGTCACGGAGGGTGTTCAACAAAGCAAACTTCGCGAGCACGGTCATGAAAGCTAGCGTCATCAACCCCCAAAACATCCAAATAAACAAGTACCTCCCGGAGCTCGAAACCTCCAGCCAAAACTGAACTCGTCGGCGAAAATACATCGAGCTTCTCATCGGCAACGTGTTTCCGTCGACCGACTCAAAAACTCGTCTCCTCGCCATGAACCTTAGAATCTCCAAAGACACGTAAGTAATGCTGGAGGAATCGTCTGCTATACTCGTTACCAAAATGGTTTAACATATTTATACGAACGCAGCCGTAAAAAACAAAACATCAATGAACAAAAGATTCCCATAAACCAGAACTAAATCCGTTTCAAAAACCAAATGGGTTTTATGGTTTGTTCTTGGTGAGTGATTCTTTTGTCAAATGATTTGGCACTGTTGGGGATAATTTTGTTTTTTTAAGGAAGAAATGCTAAATGTGAGGCGAAGCCACCTCTTTGCTTCTTATGTATAATTATTTTTCGGCTGTTTTTAGATATTGGTTTGTTACTTTTTATTTTTATAATCATATCTTAGGCTTTTGTTATTTTATTTCCAGATAATTGAAGCTCTATTTGTCAAGAGAAAAGAAGTTAAAATAGATGAAATTTAACCTTCTTTTTAAGTGTCGGGAGCAGTAGTTTTACGTTTTTAGTTGATTAAACACGTTTAATCAGCAATGTTTTTCTCAATATATTTCCTATATTTGCTCAAAATTGATCATTTTTTTTATTTCTTCCAATTCGGGTAGTCCATTATTTGGATTAAATTGAATATATTTTTATTAATGGACTCATGATAAAAATAAATTTAACCATTTATTTCAAAAGAAAATTTAAGAGGTTTTTTATTAAAAAATAATGAGTTAAATTAAGTCAAATTTATAAAGTTATTATTTGGTTTAAATATACATTTAGTATTAAACTAGACACATTTTTTAAAATTAATATCTAAAATATTTTTGCTCCCCAGTTGATATATGAATTTGTTTTTTTCTTTATTTTGATACCTATTTTAAGAATTTTTTTTATACATGCTCAAATAAATGTACATATCTGTCATTGAAATAAGTTTTTCAAAGCATATGCGTATTTTAATTTACAGAGCATTGTGTGCAGTGTGATCTTGACTTTTCCGCAATAGATGTTCATTTGACCGAGAAAAGAAGAATCCTGGATGAGTTTGAAAGTTGCCTTTACTCGTAGAGATGCAAATATCGTTGCTCTTACCCTCGTCCATTGTACTTCCCATTTATTTTTTTATGCTCCTACTTGAATCACAAACTTTGTTACTTTCGATGCAATAAATAGTTGATTGTCAACTTCATGACGCTTAAAAAATTAAAAATAAAATAACACTTAAATCTTACTTCTACTAAGATCTTTCTCTCTTACTGCCTTAGTGCAAGTTTTATTTATTTATTTTATGCCTCCATGCATGTTTGGTATTGGTTGTCAACTATTTGGATTTCTGTGGTCAATATGGAGGTTGGCCTCAAAAGGTTATCACTGGAAAAATGGAAGGAATCATAGTTGGTGTTAGGAGTCGACAAATCTCTAGGGATGAGATCTGCTTGGTGGCAAAGTTTCTGGGTGAGCTTGGGACGAACCGACAGGCGGGTGAATGCAATCGTCTTTTAAAAATTTAAAATGATCATATATATTTTTTCTATTAAAAATCTATTTTCACCTCCTAAAATTTTATAAATCCATCACCCTGGCTTAAAATCATGTCTTTGTCCCCTGGGTTAACATTGCATCCATGGATATGGTCATATGGGAGGAACGTTGCTTTCATTATGGAGGCTAATCAAGGGCACTATGACTGTAGAGCTTTTTTTTGGATTCCGATACGTAGCAAAATATTAATTTTTTTTAAGAACTCACCTAAGATCGCATGCATATTATAGAAATTAGAAGTAGAATAAAAACTTATGTCTTATATGTTGATTTGTTAATCTAGATATCGTCTTTCTGAAAGGTGTCGTCTTTTTTAAAGATAATTATCTTATACAAATATTCTCTACGAGATTTGTAGATACTATTGTTAGATAATAGATTTGATTATGATAGATCACATGGTTCAATCATTGATCATGTCAAGGGAATGTAGAGATTTAAAAGACATCAAACTCGAGAGATATTTTAGAGCCTTGAAGGCCTCAACAGAACCAATAACATAGGTTGTCAGTAGGTCATCGAACTTTGGAGGCTTTTTAGGCTCCGCAGGAGATAGAACACTTGTCCCTCTTGATCGATAGAACATCATAAAATAGTTTGAATCGAGACGCAAAAAAAAAATCTTTTACTGCATTAATGGTGTCATTTCTCAGAAATCATAGTAATGATTACTTTTAAATGTCTAGAAGTTCATATAATGTCGCTATTTTATTGATGTATATTGGAGGCGCAAATTATGAGTGTTGGGAGGAAACATCGTTCATTGTCTATTTAAAGAGGAAATTAGAGTCAAAATTCTCAATTTTATTTTCGTCTTGTTTTTTATTATCAACTTGTCGTAATTTTCTTGAAACTTTTTTTACAAAATTACTTCTTTTTCTTTAAATTTTTTCTTGACACGATGAAGAAGGAAATCATGAAAATAGTGAAGATTTATTGATGGTAAAATATGAGTTATGACGATTATTAACGGCTCATTCCTTTTAATTTGAAAGGAGAGATATGACCGATGTTATTAATAGATTATAAAAAACGATCATTTTAATCTTAACGAAGATTCTAAAGAGGAAGAAGTTTACTCTCCTATGTTATAGTGGCTATTCACATTAGTCTATAGATATTGTTATAAGATAGTGTATTTAATCCTGATAAATCTAACGATCATATCAAAAGTATAATAATTTAGAAAATGTCAAAGTTGAAATTTTTTTAAAACTCTAAAGCCAAAGGTTGTTTGAAAGATATTAACTCCCGACACTAATTAAATTTCGAAAAAGATGTAATAAATATAAGAATTCATGTAGACTTTAATCGGTATTTGATTAATAAATAAATTCGTTAGGAGATGTGATCAAATTTGAAATAAAATTCCAGATTTAGTTGAACCAGCCACAAAACCCTTTAATTTTAAACACATTCACAGCAACAGCCAATCAGTACTGGGGCCAGCTTCACAAAGTTCAAAAACCAATCACAACTCACTAGTTGAGTTGAATCAATTTTGTTTCTTTCACACAAACTACGCGAATTTTATTATTTATTGTCGGTGATTTAGTCCCCAAAATCGCGTCTTCCAAAACTACCACACCGCCCGTCATCTCCATCCATTCCCCTAAGCCTCGCTTTCACGCCGTCGGTGATATTCTCCCCTCCGCCGCTGAAATCGGTTTTATAAGTCGATTTCTTTGATTATCCCCTTTTTTTCATCGATTTTGGTTCAGATCTGATTCAAAGATGGCGGCAACAAGGCGGTTACGGGATCTCCAATCACAGCCGGACAACACAACTTGCGTCGACTGTAACCAAAAGAATCCTCAGTGGGCTTCGGTTTCCTACGGCGTTTTCATGTGCTTAGAATGCTCCGGCAAACACCGCGGCTTAGGTGTCCACATCTCGTTCGTCCGATCCGTTACCATGGATTCGTGGTCCGACATCCAGATCAAGAAAATGGAATCCGGTGGTAATGAGAAGCTCAACGCGTTTTTGGCACAATACGGTATTCCTAAAGAAACCGATATCTTTACCAAGTATAACACTAATGCTGCGAGTATCTACCGCGATTGTATCCAAGCCCTAGCCGAGGGCCGTACCTGGAGGGATCCACCCGTTGTGAAGGAGACTCTCAACGGTGGTGCTGGTGGTAATAGGAAGCCGCCGTTGAGCAGTGGAGCTAGCCGGGGCGGGAATGATGGAGGTTGGGATAGTTGGGATAATGACGATTCCTTTAGATTTTCGAGCGAGATAAGGAGGACTCAATCGTCAAGTGATTTTAAGGCAGGGAATTATCACAGTGGTGGAGTGGGAGGTGCACCAGTGAAGTCGAGGTCGAGTGAGGATATGTATACGAGATCCCAATTGGAGGCTTCGGCGGCGAATAAGGAGAGCTTTTTTGCGAGGAAAATGGCAGAGAATGAATCGAGGCCTGAAGGGTTGCCCCCTTCACAAGGCGGGAAGTATGTTGGTTTTGGATCGAATCCTATGCCTAGCCAGAGGAATAATAATAATTCTCAAGGGGATGTGCTCTCTGTTGTGTCTCAGGTTAAGAGAATATTTCATTCCTCTTTTTCCCCTTAATAATGGGGAGTGAAGTCTTTATGGTGATAATCATCAGTTATTGATTAATTTGTGTTTGGTGCAGGGGATTGGGAGGCTATCTTTGGTAGCAGCATCTGCAGCTCAATCTGCCGCAAATGTTGTCCAAGCAGGATCAAAGGAATTGACCTCGAAGGTATTTTAGGGGAATTTCCATTATGATTTCTTCTTTGGTTGTTCTGCAAGTTCATATCTTACAATCGTCGATATTAATTGTTCGTGTTTGCATTTTGATCTTCATTGAGATGCATTGGCATTGCTTATCATTATATGATTTATAGATGATAATGCATTGTATGAATTGCACTGTGGCGTGATCCCTTGAACCTTCTTTACACACACACACACACACACACACATATATATATATATATATATATATATATATCAGTTCTAGTGAACATATGTGAGGTACTGATTTAGGGTAATTCTGCTTTAGAAATAAAGCTGATAAATTTTAATTCATTGAATCATTAATCCTCCTGTTTTCTGTTGTTCTAAACCCTTGTAATTTGCAACCATTTAATTCTTATTCTACAAAGGAAACTGGTTTTCGACTTGAGGGTTCTTCTTTGTGGTCTTTAGAGTCTACATTACATTCAAAGACATGCTGCTTTAGTTTTGGCTACAATGTTGACACTATAGTTATAACTCGTTGGGTTTTCTACCCTTGCATTATGACTTTTAAGGATATAGGGGATTTGGAATTGGATGCACAAGGTCATGATTGTTTTCCTCTTCCTTCTTTGGCAGGTGAAAGAGGGTGGCTATGATGCCAGGGTTAATGAAACTGTCAATGTTGTCACTGCAAAGACAAGTGAGATTGGCCAGAGGACGTGGGGTATCATGAAAGGGGTCATGGCAATGGCTTCACAGAAGGTTGAGGAGTACACTAAAGATGGCATGAACTGGAAAACTGATAACTGGCCACAAAATGATGGTGTGAAGAATGGATATTATAACGAGTTTAAACACGAGAACAATGGATGGAATTCTACTTCTGGAGGACAATCCTCTTCTGCTGGCAATAATAATTCTTATAACTCAAGTTCTTGGGATGGCTGGGACATGAAAGACGACAGGAAGGAAGGTAATAAAAAAGTGACTGTCTCTCATAGCAATGATGGTTGGGCTGGCTGGGATGATGCCAAGGATGATGGATATGATCATTTCTATAACGGTTCATCTGATAAAAAAGCCGTTGATCACAACGGTAAATCAGATTCCACATGGACTGGTGGAGGCTTCCTTTAAGGTTAATCACATATTCATATATATACCCTTAATTTTATACCATTCTAGATTTTGTGATCATGTTTTTGCATCCAATATTTTAAATGAACAGTCTGATGTATGGCCCAATGTCCAGGTTGAACTTGAATGCTATTTACAGAGATCAGAGTTCTTACATACCCAGAAAGGTAACTAGTACACAATTTATTCCAGCTGGGGACAGCGCATGCGGGGGATGGATAGCACTCTATTTTATCGTTCTACAGCTGCTAAGAATCATTGTTTGTGGAAGGTGGGGTGATTTTGATGGAGTTGATAATTTCTTCTGTAAGTTTCGTGTTTGATTTAAGCTTAAATTTATAAAACTGTGGACAGAAAAGGCTAATTTGCCCTATTTGAAAGAGAAATGCTTGTACCTGTGACATAAAATCAAAATTGTTTTGGATCTATATGCTCAACTGTTGTTACTTTTGTGTTCCCTGGTTTAATCCAATCCTATTCTTATGTGCTTTATATTTTATACCCGAGTTTTATTTTTTTGTTGAGTTGTTAATCTATTTAATGTTGACCAAAACTTTAATAAAGGATGTGATGATATTAGATTGTGTATTTTTTTTTTTGGTGTTAGTTTTGTCATATTATATGATAACCTTGTTAATCATTTTAAATAGGATTTCAACTTTATTAACACCAGGAAATGTTGTGGGTAAAAGTAAGGGTAAACTACAAGTTTGATCATCTTTGTTTTAATTTTGTTTAGTTTTGATCGGCGCATTTGAAATATGTTATCAATTTTTTTCATTTTGATTATTGAGAATTAATTGAACCGTTATTTTTGTTAGTAAAAATGATTTAAACTCTCCAATTCTTCTTTTAACTTAATTGTTGTTCATTGTCGATGTCAACCCTGTCACCATCTCCGATTGATAATGGAAAAGTTGGGTGACCTTCTCAACCCCTCTCTCCTGTTACCCTCACCGATATATATGATAGTCCATGGGACGTATATCAACAAATTCAGCTTAATTTAGAGGCTGCTGAGTCAAAGCTTACTCTAGTGGAAGGTGAGGCTGTTGGTGGTGAAAACCCTGCCAAGTTAAAAGCATTTAAAATCTGTGGCTGAAATAGCTAAAGAGGAAGAATCCATGCATAACTCTTTACAGGCCGAAGAGGCTCTACTTGCTCGAGCACTAGATGAACATGAGGTATAAGATTCATCTTACATTATTTGTTGTCCGATAGATTTGCAAATTTCTGGGTAAACTTTGTCCTTGCGGTTCAGGTCTTCACTTTTAACTAGTATGCTCCGGTCAGCATTGAATATCACAATTGCTTTAAAATATTTTTATATTAATCATTAACCACTCAAAGAAGCTCATATTTATTTGTTTCAATATGTTCTCTTCTTTATTATGAAATTTATCTTCCCATTGATAAAATTTGTAAAAGTAAAGGGTTAAATATTTTTTTAATAGTTTAATGATAAAAAAAGATGATAAAATTTCTTCATTATTTAATCTGGATTAATTAATCTAACTTTAATCTTTTGAGTTAAAACTGGAATCTTAAAATATAGTAAATATAAGAATTGGAAACAATCAAATTAAAATATAAGATCTAAAATTATAACTTATACATAATTTAGGGGTGGGAGGATAATGCAAGATAGAATTTGTGAACTGATGTAGGCTAAAAAGGGTTAGCATTTGTGTCAATTACAACAATATTTTGGTGTTTTATTTGGGAGAGTTGGCCAAATGATTGGATGCCAAGTTGGAGTTAATGATGATGCATATCATGTTCTGAACAATTATTGGTGTTTTATTTGTTGGGTTTCAATGTAATTATTTTATTATCAAATTTTGAATGCAGATCAAGAGGTTGCCGGTTCGAACCCGGTTGGGCCCTCTAACAATTATATTTAATAATGTTTAGATTTCATCATTTAATAAATCTTACGAGCCAGCCGATCGGACTATTTTTTCTTTTTTTGCAGGCACTCACAATCGCCTCCAACGTTGTGACGTACCTTATCACTAAAACATTACTACTACTCTTTTCTGATTAAAGTATTAGACAAACCTATGTTTATATAAGTATAAAGCACATATTATGAATTATTTATTAAGACTTTACTAAAATAAAAAAAAATATTAATATCAAATTTATATTATGAATTTTGTTTTACTAAGTTTATATATATCACTTTGATTTTGATTTGAATATATAAATGAATTTTAATTTTGAGTCAATTATATACACATTTAATTAAATTTATTGAATTTAATTTTTAGTATAATTATTTTTTCGTGGAGTTTCACTTATGAGAATTATTTTTAATTCTCAGATTTTATAAATAATTCCATTTATCTTAAACTATATGCTTTTTAATAAATGTTTTTAAAGAAATTTTTTAATATATGATTTCAAATTTATGATTATTCTAGATCTAATTTTGAGCGTTATATTTCAACAATTAATTAGAAAAAAATGTTAAATTATTAAATAATTTATTTAAGGATGTTATCGGGATTAAGAAAAAAAAGAGCCTTAACTTTTAAGCAGCCGCCGAGTTTCACAACAGCAGCCAATGGCCAGCTTTACAAAGTGCACAAACGAGTCACAACTCACGGACTGAGTTGACTCTTATACTATCTCACTTGGAAGCGAATTTTATTAAAATGCGGAAGCTGAAAAATTCACTTAAAAATATTTAAATTATTAAATAATTTATTTAAGGATGTTATCGGGATTAAGAAAAAAAAGAGCCTTAACTTTTAAGCAGCCGCCGAGTTTCACAACAGCAGCCAATGGCCAGCTTTACAAAGTGCACAAACGAGTCACAACTCACGGACTGAGTTGACTCTTATACTGTCTCACTTGGACGCGAATTTTATTAAAATGCGGAAGCTGAAAAATTCACTTAAAAATATTTAAAAAGAAAAGAGAGATAAATGAAAAGCCCAGAAACGCGTATTTCAAAGCCACCACACCATCCTTTCCCCTAAGCTATGTTTTCACGCCGTCGCTGACCTTCTCCGATGCTGAATTTTAACTTTCCATCATTTCTTTAATAAATTCTAGATCGTTCTTTATAGGTCAATTTCCTTTTTTACGGAATTCGGTTCAGATCTGATTCAAATATGGCGGCTACGAGGCGGTTACGGGATCTCCAGTCACAGCCGGGCAACAAAACTTGCGTCGACTGTAACCAAAAGAATCCTCAGTGGGCTTCGGTTTCCTACGGCGTTTTCATGTGCTTAGAATGCTCCGGCAAACACCGCGGCTTAGGTGTCCACATCTCGTTCGTCCGATCCGTTACCATGGATTCGTGGTCCGACATCCAGATCAAGAAAATGGAATCCGGCGGTAATGAGAAGCTCAACGCGTTTTTCGCACAATACGGTATTCCTAGAGAAACCGATATCGTTACCAAGTATAACACTAATGCTGCGAGTATATACCGCGATCGTATCCAAGCCCTAGCCGAGGGCCGTGCCTGGAGGGATCCACCCGTTGTAAAGGAGACTCTAAAAGGTGGTGCTGCTGGTAACCGGAAGCCGCCGTTGAGCGGTGGAGCTAGCCGGGGCGGGAATGATGGAGGGTGGGCTAGTTGGGATAATGATGATTCCTTTAGATCTTCGAGCGACATGAGGAGGAACCAATCGGCGAGTGATTTTAGATCAGGGAATTATCACGGCGGTGGAATGGGAGGTGCACCGGTGAAGTCGAGGTCGAGTGAGGATATGTATACGAGATCCCAATTGGAGGCTTCGGCGGCGAATAATGAAAGCTTTTTTGTGAGGAAAATGGCAGAGAATGAATCGAGGCCTGAAGGGTTGCCCCCTTCGCAAGGAGGGAAGTATGTTGGTTTTGGATCGAGTCCTATGCCTACCCAGAGGATTAATAATAATTCTCAAGGGGATGTGCTCTCTGTTGTGTCTCAGGTTAAGAGAATATTTCTTCTCTTAATTGGGGTGAAGTTTTTATGTTGATAATTATAAGTTATTGGTTGATTTGAGTTTGGTGCAGGGGATTGGGAAGCTATCTTTGGTAGCTGCATCAGCAGGTCAATCTGCTGCAAATGTTGTCCAAGCGGGAACGGAAGAGTTCACCACAAAGGTATTTTCGGAGGATTTTCGATTATGCTTTCTTTGATTGTTTTTCTATCATTGATATCTGCATTCTGATTCCATTTAGATGCATTCACATTGTTTATCATTATATGATTATATAGATGATAATGCAATGTATGAATTGCATTGTTGTGGGAGTCAGTGATCCTTCTTTACATAAATTCTGTGTGTATAAAGAAACTTTCAGCTAATCATGTTTATTTTTGTTATTAGTTGATAAATTGTTTATTATTTATACAAAAATGCATGATAAACTGTCAAAATTTCACCCTTAGCTATTCTATCGTACTTTAAAAATATTTGAAGTATTATATAAGCCAATGGTTCTGAGGTGAGTAGAACGATGAAATTATAGTATATTTTTTTTCTGAGATTAATTCATCAACTTTAAAATATGCCTCTCAATCAATGAGTTAAAGTTGATTAACCTATAATTTCACTTCAGTTTTCTCTTGATTTCTTAGCTAATTTCCAAACCGAAGAGAAATGTTCCCTCCATTTGGCTAGTTTTTTCATTTTTTACGATTTTTTTTACTCTCTGTGCCCTCTACTGCTCTTTTAAAGAATTTGAATGCATTGTTAAGGTTTTGATGCTCCTTTAACTTGTTGGAGTCTAGCATTCTTGTGTTATATATATATATATATAGCAGTTGTAGTGAACATATATGAGGTACTGATTTTGGGGTAATGCTGCTTTGGAAATAAAGCAGAGAAAATTGAAATCTTTGAATCATTAATTCTCTTGTTTTCTGTTGTTCTAAACCCTAGAAATATGCAACCATTTAATTCTTATTCTGCGAAGGAAACTGGTTTTCCATTGTTATGACTTTTCTACCCTTCCACTGCAACTTTTAAGGATATGGGGGATTTGGAATTACATAAACAAGGGCATTATTGTTTTCCTTCTGTTTTTTTTTTGGTGTGTGTGTGTGCGTGTGTGCAGGTTAAGGAGGGTGGCTATGACACCAGGGTTAATGAAACTGTCAATGTTGTCACTGCAAGGACAAGTGAAATTGGCCAGAGGACGTGGGGCATCATGAAAGGGGTCATGGCAATTGCTTCACAGAAGGTTGAAGAGTACACTAAAGATGGCATGAACTGGAAAACCGATAACTGATCACAAAACAATGGTGTGAAGAATGGATATCGTAACGAGTTTAAACTTGAGAATAGAGGATGGAATTCTACTTCTGGAGGACAATCTTCTTCTGTTGGCAATAATAATTATTATAACTCAAGTTCTTGGGATGACTGGGACATGAAAGACAGCAGGATGGAAGATAATAATACAAAAGTGACTGCCTTTCGTAGCAATGATGGTTGGGCTGGCTGGGATGATGCCAAG